CTCAGGCAACTGTTGCACTTCAGAAGTGGAGAAGGAGGGAGGGTGCAGATTGGTCCCAGATAGGACCCTCCTTTTTGTAAGGCAGTTGTTGTCAGACGCCAAAGGAGTTGCTCGTTTGCTGCCTCAGGGTGGTCACAGAAGAACCAGGGATAGAAAACCCCACACACCTCATTCCTGATTATCTTCCTGTGGCTTGGGAGCATTCATGGATGAGAGGCTGGATGTGTCGCAGCCATGTGTGCTGGCACTGAGACCCCCGTGCCCTGGGCTGATCCCACAGGGATCCCTCTGCTGCGTGGGCAGCAGAGGAGAGGGGGATTCTACTCCTCTGCCCCATAGGTGAGACCCCATCTGCAGACCCCACCTGCTGTCCAACAGCAGAAGGACGTGGAGCTACTGGATCAAGTCCAGAGGAGGCCACGGAGATGCTCCAAGGGCTGGAGCCCCTCTGTTCTGGAACCAGGCTGGGAGAGCTGGGGGGGTTCAGCTGGAGAAGAGAAGGCTCCAGGGAGACCTGAGAGCCCCTTCCAGTGCCTAAAGGGGCTCCAGGAGAGCTGGAGAGGGACTGGGGACAAGGGATGGAGGGACAGAACAAGGGGAATGGCTTCCCACTGCCAGAGGGCAGGGATAGATGGGATATTGAGAAGAAATTCCTGGCTGTGAGGGTGGTGAGGCCCTGACACATGCCATCCAGAGAAGCTGTCGCTGCCTTATCCCTGGCAAGAATGGTAGAACTAAGTGGTCTTTAAGGTCTCTTCCAACCCAAATCATTCTAAGATTCTACCAATTTACCATCACCAGTAAAAGAGGCAAAGCTGGTGCCTTCCTCCAACTTCTGCAGATGATGCTGCTGCAAAGGAGGCATGAGAAAAATGATAGCAAAGCTCTTTCTTTTAGCAGGGTAGCACTAAAGCCAGCCATTTCCCTCCTTTGTTCCTGTCCCTCTTCCTCCTGTCACTCCCAAGCCAGTATCCTGCAGGTTGCTGGGCTGAGATATGGGTTGGGATCAGGAGAGGGATGTTGCTGGGGAGCGGCAGGTATCCATGGGGAAAGAGGTGAAGGTTCTTGGGTTGCTGCAGATTGGCAACAAGATTTTGAAAGCTTTATATTTGTTCTTTCATTAAAATTTGATCTAAGTGGGGTCTGGGGCAGCAGAGAGGCAGCTGCCAGCTTTCTGGATTCCCACAGGCAGGTGGATGGGGATGGAGGCTGGACAGACACCTTCATGAGGAAGGTAAAGCACAAAAAATGGTGCACATGGGCTTCAGACCTGCTCCCTCTGACCTCTGTTTGCAGCAATTCCAGTAGGTGACAGAGTTCCCTTGGTGTGTGCTAGCTGGCCATGTGACAGTCACCTAAGCTTGCCAAGTATCACCTTATCCAAGAGTTACTTTCCCCAGAAAATCTAACAATGTGTATGCACGTCACAACATAGCTATCTCTTGAGAACAGGCCCAGGGAGCAGACCATTCCTGAACAACCCTTCTTTTCCAGAGCTTTTGGCCTTTCTTGCTGGAGCATGTATGTTTATGATTTAAATTGGAACATACATGCATTAGAAGTCTCATGGGCATCTCAGGTTCTGCTCCAAGCTTCCCACCATGTAAACCACAGAGTGTTTAGCTCCAAAGTTGAAAATAACCCCTGTTAGCAATCCTTCCTATGGCCATGGGCTGCTTGTGCTTTGCTTTTCCCACACCCCTCACTTCGAGAACAAACAGCTCTGAAATATTGGTTTGTTACCTTCTCCAGCCACCTGCAAATAAATACCAAAACAAAACCCATGTGGGAAAGAGACCAAATGTGATTTTGCTGCCCACTGAGGAGTTGCAAACCTGCCTCTGAAAACCATGAGCACCCGAGTTTGATGGTACCTGTTGCCCAGGCAGGAGCAAAAACCATCCCTCTTGTGTGGGTCTTCTCATAGACCCATTGCAGAGCAGAGGGTGATTTTCTCCCTTGTGAGACATTTTGTTTTGGAAATGTTCAGAGATTTTGGCTTCATAAGGAGTATGTCTGCTGAAAGGTGCATTTCAGATCCACATTGTCCTCAGTGAGCTGATTCTGCTGAAGGCACTTCCACTACTGTCAGCACAACCCATGGTGGGGAACAGCCTCGAGACAAGAGCCAAAGCTCTCACTGTTCCTTTGAGATTCAGGCCTGTCCCCACCCACCCATCACCTTTGGTCTTCTCTGGCCACTCTGCCCTCCTTACAAGTTGCTGATATTTCCTTTTACATCAGCTCGCTGCACAAAAAAAGTCAACTTTTCTGCCTTCCAAATTTAGCTCTGTTTAGGCACCAAAATAGACAAGAGTAGGGATCGGTGACTGTTTTTTTCCAAAACATTGTCTCATGACTAGGACTGAGGAAGGGAACTGCTCGACAGGAGAAGGGAGACGTTTGGTTTTCCTAACGGGGACACGAAGTTCTCCCGTGTTCAGGCATGGGCAGTGTCCAGGAGTGCTCCTTGGATTAGGAGCTTATTCCTGTGTAATTAATTTGTCTTTCATCCCATTGGCGTCAGCTGCTGATGGGTTGAGGTCTGAGGAAGCACAGGGATTCTCTGCAAGGAGGACATGTGGGAATGCACCACTGTGCATACGGTTTCTAGTTGGAAAGAGCAGAGACTTTAATGAGGGCTTCGGAAATTGGTCCTTGTGTTATGCGGAGATAGTTTCATTTTTCCAAGGTAATTGTATTTGCACGTGTGTCTGCAATGAAGCTTAAATTCTAAAAAACGCCCCAAGCTTTAGCCTCCTGTGGTAATACAGCATTAGAAACAGCCTCGCTGATTATTGCACTATTTTTAGCCTCATTTCCTAAGCTATGTGGCTGATGTGTTTGGGCTGTGTGTGTCTCCTCCTTCCCTTCCTTTTCTTGTTGAGTTTGGTATCCATTGGCCAATGCCAAGTAATTTTTCACAGGAACAGAGGTCTCGGTGATATTAAGCCCCTCCTGTACATTCAGTGAAAATGAATGACTGGGAAAATAAGAGGTGAGGAAGACTCAAACCACAGCCCTCAGTAATAAAGGTTCAATATGAGCAACCTGGTCTTGTGGAAGTTCCCCTTGCCCCTGGCAGGGGGTTTGGACTGTCTGATCTTTAATGTTCCTTCCAACCCAAACCATTCTAGGGTTCTGCGATTCTAAGCTATTATAGAATCCTAGCATATCCTGACTTGGAAGGGACCCACAAGGATCATCAGGTCCAGCTCCTGGCCCTGCACAGGGCAGTCCCAACCATCCCACCATGTGCTTCACCACTAGACCCTTCACCATTGTCCTAGCCCTCCTTTGGACGTTTTCTAATAGCTTTGTATTTTGGCTTGATGAGTTCTGTATTGGCTTGAAGTCTTGAGGAGCAAAGGCGTCCAAAGGGGAAGACTCCAGCTGCCATGGGAGCTGTAGGGTTGCTGCAGTGGCAGTTTCTCCTGGCTTTTTGCAGATGGTCAGGATGGATGGTCACAGTAAACCCTGATGGTCTTTGGCTCAGTGGTGCCTCTCAGGCCTGCATGCCTGAATTCATTGTCATCCCCAGCAACCTTTCTCCTCCTCATTTTGAGAGAAACTCAAAATATTATTATCTCAGTAACCACTACAAAAATGAACTGTAATTTTTAAAGGCTCTTCGTGCGAAGAGAGAGGGACTTTTTTTTGAAGTCGGTGTGTTATGTTGTCATGCCAATGTCACAAAGCCGCTGCTCAATGAGACACATCCCCACCCAGGCCTTGCCCTTGCCCAGGCTGCTCCCTCATGGCCCCTCATGTGTGGTGATTCACCAGCAGCGGCTGGAGCTCCAGGCCGAGATAGATTGCGATGGAAATAAAAGGAGCGACTTTTACAGGGCTTTTATTGCCAGCTGGGGAAGTACAATACTGCATAAATAAAATTCATTATGGTTATGACAGCTCTGTGGTCCCTGGAAAATAAATAACACTTTGCACTTATGCAGAGCCTTTCATCCAGGAACCTCAGAGCTCTTTGCGAGCATTAACAAAGCCTTGTCATGCCCATAGTAGGTTGGCAAATACAGCATCCCACTTATCAGATGAACATACCACGTCAGAGTCGGCACCTTCAGTGGAAAGAGGACACTGGAAAGACAGCAGCTGGAGTTACACACAGCTCTTCCACTACCTTGGCTTAGAATCAGAATCCTAGAATGGCTTGTATTGGAAGGGGCCTTAAAGATCATCTCGTTTCAACCCCCCTGCCATGGGCAGGGACACCTTCCACTAGACCAGGTTATTCAGAGGCCCCTCTAGTCTTGCCTTGAACACTTCCAGGGATAGGGAGTCCACAGCCTCTCTGGACAACCTGTGCCAGGGCCTCACCACCCTTATAGTAAAGAATTTCTTCCTATTATCTAATCTAAATCTATCTTCCTTCAGCTTGGGCTTGGGCACATCGTTTAACACATCCTTGTCATCTGTTTTTTCCAGTAAGATGTATGCCACGTGTCCTTTCCACGGAGTTAACTTGTTCATGGTGGGCAGGCTCAGCAAGGTGCTCGTGTTGTGTTTGTTCCCTTCCTAACAGCACGAGAGCACAGACCTGCCAGCTGTGTCCTCAAAAGGATACTGAGACACATTTTTACAGCTGGGTTTTGGATAAATATACAAAGGAAACAGCCTGGGGAAAGTGGGTGGCTTGAGTGGACCAGAGTTGTGTGTAAAGTAGGTGAATTCCCTGTCAGTGGTGTATACTTGGATTTGTACAGACATGATCCAGTTATTTGCCCCGTGTGGTTTCTCCCATGCAGAAACTGCAGGTAACTTCATTCCCTGCACTTTGAGGGCCCTGAGAGGGTACAACAAGTCTGGGTTTTCCAGACCCGCTTTTGTATGGGCTGGGATGTTGTAAGGATGTTTGGATGGGAACCGTTCCTTTTACCACGTTCACATGTGGGTGCACAGCTCTGCCCCACTCTGACCCCTTCCATGCCGATGCCTCCTGTTTCTTGGAGCTGATTGCTGCTTTTCCCTCTGTTTTGCAGGGTTACCATCCGTTGCCTCATGAAGCTGAAATCGCACACACCAAAAAGCTGTTCAGAAGGAGGAGAAACGACCGGAGGTAGGTGAAACCCCTTTCATGTTTTTTTTAATCTTTTCTTCCTCGTGCACCTTCATCCACTGTCTCATGGACTGTCTTGAGGCAGGGCTGCTGTTGAGCGCTGGATTAATATATAAACCCTTATTTGAGCACTGATATCCTGAAAATACAGTCTGTCCATCCCTCTGGTTTGTCTTTTAAATCTGGAATATGTCCTATATTGCTCCAGGAGTATCTTGAGGGCCTTCTCTTCCCCTTGTAATTATTCCAACATAGCCAGATTTCCTCACTTGTAAGAGGCATCTGGCAAGTTATTATCTGTTAAAGCTTGAGTCGTTGGGCTTTGCTTTCTCTTTTTTCTATTGAAAAGCAAAATTTGTTGACTTTCAGGGTCACCTGAAAAGTGGGCATGGTTTGGTTAAGAGGGGATTGCAGTGAGCCTCACGTGGCTGTCTGTGGGAAGGAGGGGATTTGCTAAACAGGCAGCTGAATTCCTTTGGCATTGGCGATTTCAATCCATTGAGTTAATTTAATAGGGTCCATTGGATATTTAATTGTGTAAAATGCACATTTAATTATTTGAGGGCACCTAGAGTCCTTGATATGAATCGTGACTATGGTTAAATGTGAAAATAAGCAAGGAATGAGGGAGGTAGTTACTACATGTAGCTTTATTTCTGCTGACTTTTTCTGCTGTGGCTGAGACAACACATCCAGGGTAATAAAGCATTTCTAAAACCAGGAGTTTGTTTGCAAGGTGATTCAACAGGAGGAAAAGTGGCCAACGTTTTCTCTGAGAATGAAATCTGTACCTGAGCTGTCACAATGGGGGTTTTTTGGTGAAGTCCTACAGATACCTAGTAGCACTTGGAGTGTGTCCTCAGATCGCCCCATGGCTTCTCAGAGCAGCCAGGGTACAGTTAACCCTATGCATGGTTTGGTTTTCCCAAATTTTACCAAGTGACCAAAAAAAACAGCTGAATAGAGTTTTCTTAGGCATACTAGAAACATTCCTCTGTGGGGCAGGGAGGTTCACGAGCAGCAAACTGTTTTTCCTCTTCTCTTTGGGGCTCCCTCCTTTCTTCTTGTACGCAATTTAAAAGACAATTTAGTCTTGTGATTTAGGGGGGGAGTGGGAAAGGTCTCATTTCATCTGGGTGGCAGCCCTGTGATCACCAAAACGTGGTTAAAATCAAGCTGAAGTCTACTGTGTTGCAAGAGTTGGTTTACTTGAAGCACTAGGCTGGACTCCCTGAAAATCACAGCGGAGGTTGGAGCATCCTGATCCCATTTCACCTCACTAGGTGGGTCCTCCTCTACCATCTAAAGAGTGTGTGATGTTTTGGGAGAGGAGACTGGTCTCCTGCCTGAAGTCCTATGACCAAAGCTGCAATGAACCATGGAACTGCGTGTTGGTTCTTCCCTCCCATCTAGAAAAACCAGCCACTTGGAGGGATCACTCCAGGTGTGCACTTTTTCTTTCTGGTCCCTTCAGATAAACCATCAGCAGACAAAAGCATTCAGCCCCTCAGGTCCTCCCTGCCTCTTACACAGATGGCAATGAGGGATAGCAAAAGAAACTGCCTTGGGCTGGGGTTGGAAGATCATGGGGTGAGATACAGCCCAGACTGGGTAGCACTGGGATAATATCCCGGGATGAGAGGAAAAAGACCTTAAAACCCGACTAATCCAGCATCATTCTGGAGGAGACATGGGGTCATTTCAGCCCTAAGCAGTCACAAATGAAATAAAATGGAAAGAACATGCAGTCCTGCAGGAGTAGTCAATGCTTAGACAGAAAAACATATTTATTTTAATTCCAAAATGGTAAGAAGCCTGTGTAGAGGAAGCCATAGTGAAAAAGCAGTCTTTTAAATAATTATTTGAAAGGATAAGGCATGATCCCTTCCCCTAGACTTCAGCTTGGAGCCTCAGCAGTCTCATTCTCCCCATGACACATGGTTTGATGCTGGGGGTTTTCAGGGTTCCCTTGTCTCTGAGGTGCATTTGGGACTGGGAGTCCTTGTCGTGTCACTTGAGTTGCCTCAGAGAGGACTTGCTCCTTAAAATTGATTTCTAGAAGTAGATTAGGTCTCAGAATGGTCATTTTATGTGAAAAACAGGATAGAAATAGGGGATGGTAAAGACTAGGAATAGAGGGACAGAAAAAAAGGGAATAGGGAAAAGAAACAGACTGTGTTGGAGCATGAACAGACTACAAAGCTGTTCACACTTCATTGCAATGCTGTTTTCTTAATGTCTGAGGCATCGGTCTCAGTAGGGGGTGAGGAGCAGGAAGAAAAGCTTAATTTCTGATCTGGTGCAGCCATACAGGTGGCATAAAAATCCCTCAGGGTGAGATGTTATGGCAGGAAAACCAGCCAGGAGATACAGGCTTTCTGTTTTAAATCTTACCTGGATATGGAGGCACTCAAAATTGCAAGATTGTGGATTGGGCGTCAGAGGGAACGAGGCTTGGGAGAGGCTGAGCAGGGCCATTTGGTGGTGGATGGGTTGGGAGGGGGTTTAGGAAGCAGCTTGGCATGCCTGGACCCAAGGGAAGAAAATCTGGTTTCTTAGAAAGGAGGAGAAGGTACCTTAGAAGGCACCATTCTTAGAAATGGGAGCAGCCAAGGGCAGGAGTGGGGTTGACTTGCAATGGATTTGCAAGAAGAGGTTGTCCTGCTAAATTGGTTAAAAGCAAGTGTGGCCTCACTCAGAGTCCTGGCCACACCTGGGGCTGGTTTTCATCAGGCAGCTTTTCACCTTCTCCTGAATGTGGTGAGCACCCCAGACCCCACCAGCAATGCCTTTATGTGGTGCAAGGGCTCTCCCTGCCCAGGACTTGTCTCATCCAAGGTTGACAAATCCCAAGTGATGGATACCATGATTGGGGTCCTCCTGTGAGCAGGAGTCACACTTGCAAGTGTCCATCCAGCTTTGGGTCGAGGTGTCAACCCCCAGTTTGACCTCTGCTCAGCATACAGGTCCGGCTGGCCTTGCCTGGTTGTAGCTGACTTTCGAGTTGCCTGGATCTTTACATAAAACAGCTATTATAAAAAAGCTGATAAAGCACATTAGTACCCAGAAATCTATCTGGTTTTTTCCAACTAGTCTTATAAATGACACCAATTCCCTCCTAGAGCGTGTGTGGGCTTCTCACTCCTCTGGCGGTGACATTCAGAAGGGGACATGTCTTGGACCAGTGAAACACCTTTTGTTCCTCATGCTGATGTCCGGCCCTGCTATAAATAACCCCTGTCCCTGCTTCCTTCACGTCACCTTTCCTCGGGAAATGCTGTCACTGTGTTGTGGAGGAGCACAGCTCCCTTACCCTGAGGTCTCTGTCATGCACCTTTCCCTCCCGTGGGGAGAAGCAACCCTATGGACATGCAGCCATAGCTCACTCCTTGCATATGTGCTGTTTTTACGTTCTCCAAGCCATTTTTTCCCAGAGAAGCTGTGGATGCCACATCCCTGGAAGTGTTCAGGCCAGGTTGGATAGAGCCTTTGAGTAACCTGGTCTGGTCAAGGTGTCCCTGCTTATGGCAGGGGATGGAACTGGATGGTCTTAAAGGTCCCTTCCAACCCAAACCAAACCAATCTGAGATTCTGTGATTTTTCCCTGGATGCATACCTCGTTTGTTGCATAAGACAGGGATGAAGAGGGAATTAGGTGTTATTTAAAAAACCTGGATGCATTTTCCATGACAGCAATCAACATCAGAGCCCCATCTGATGGAGGGTTTGGTTGCACAGGGCTTTGTAAAAGCTTAGAGGAGGTGGTGAGGTCCTTGCTGCAAAGAGCTTATAATCAGGGCAGGAAACGAGGGAGAGGTGCTGCCCTCCCCACCTCTCCTGGCAGAAATCCCACACCTGGTGTGTTCTCTGTTGGCTTAGAGTCACGAGCTGTGACTGCCATATCCTGATGAGGGTGATGGAGGGCATCACCACTTGCTGGGATCATGGAAGGAGAGCAGCAGGGGGAAGTTTTTTCATACATGTCCAAAGGCACCAAAGGCCACTTGGTTTGACCTCCCATAGGTGACCACCTCTAGGGAAGGAGGGAGTTTTCCTGAGTGGTGGTAGGACCTCTCCTGCAAGAAAAAAAGTAACCTGGGATATGGGGCACAACAGACCCATTTCTCAGGTCCTCTCCTCTGACCTTTCCCAGCCCAACGCTTCCCTGCTAGCAGAGCACACAAGCTGTGCTGGGATGTGGTCTCCTTGGGCCACTTAGGGCTTAGTTTGGCTCCTTGTTGTTCAAAAAGTTCCCAAAGCCACCATTTCTTAAGTATCCGTTGAAGCATTGCAAGTCAACTTTGTGTTGTACAGGGCTCCTTCAGTTCCCATGACATCCTGGTATGATGTGTTTTGGGGTGGAGGGTCCAGCTGGGTGAATCCTTTGACCTGGAAATGCGCAAACAGAGGCTTGCACCAACCTTATAGGAATGATAAAAAACATTGCTCAATTTAGACAGGATTTGCAGGGAATACATGGAGTTGCAACAGGTTAAGACAGGTGAGTTTGTACCTACATCTTGGTCTTCTGATTGAAGGTAGTGAAATGGTTCTGTGTCACCTGAGAAAGGGAGACAGTTTTTCTGAGGACCAGGAAAAGGTTGCTAGGGAAGTCCTAAAGAGTTTGTGCCATCATAATCACATCTTGTGGGACTCAAAAGTCAAATCAGGCTGAATACCTTACAAAGAGGAGATCCTTGGGTGTGCATACATACTGGCTGCTACCTCACAGGGGTCTTGGTGGTTCTTGTCTATGGACAAGGACAGGAGAGGATGGCAGAGGGAAGCACAGGGTCTGTGAAAGGATGGAGTAAAAGCCTAAGAGTTAATCAATTCCCCCTCTGCAAAAGGCATCTGAATTCCTCTTGTCAGTAAAAAAAGTGGGAGTCCCTTGTGCTTCTTCTGTGTAGCTGGTGTGTCTGCAGGCTTTGGGGTGATTAGAGCCAATGAGGGGCTGCTCTGCCTGTCCCAGCCAGGCAGGTCATGCTGGGGACTGTGAC